AAAATAGATTGGAAAAAATAGAATAGAAGTAGAATAAAATTAAGAAATAGAAAAGTTGAAGTAAACAAAAGTAAAACATCAAATAAAAAAAAAAAAAATCTACTGAAAATAAACTATAGTCATGACTATTACTTTTGCACCCCTTGGTTCAAAAGGTTAAAAACTTTATAACCATAATGCCCCTCTTTGCCTTATACCTATGTTTTCATAGTGCCAGTCCAGCACACTCCCACACTAGCTTTTGGAGCAAGTGCCAGATCGGCACTATGAAATCAATGTACTGGATCGGTCTGGCACATTTTTTGTTTTGGTCCAACAAAATTTTTGCGTTGGATTGGACTCATTTTTCGGTCTAATTGCCGAATTGGTACTATAAAATCAATGTGTCGGACAGGTCCGACACATTTTTTATGTTGGTCTAGCACATTTTTTTGTTTTGCTGGAACATCATTGATTCATTTTTTGGTCCAGAACCAAAAAAAAAGAAAAAAGGAAAAATAAAAAAAAAAAGAAAAGAAAGAGATTGGGTGTTGTAAACATGGGTCAAATGGGTATTTTGGTTTTAAAAAAAAAATACCATTTTGAACTTGGGGGATAGTTGTAAAAGAAAACAATAATGATTTTTTTTTTAGGCTTTTGAAATGTTATTGGGAGGACGATATTAAGAAAGTTGAGTTAAGGGGTGTTTTAGTAATTTTTCCTAATAAAACAAGAAATGTATAAATTTAATAACATTACATAAAGGGTGTGGTTTGTATAAAGCTTAGGGCCTAAACAATCAAAGTAAGGCACACCTTTAAATAGTGTCAAAAGATTCTTCACTACTAGAAATCTGTGATGGCCTCAAAGTTTATTTACATCTCTAACTATAAAATTTAAAGCTTAAACAATAGTGTAGATCAAGCAGATCTATGAACACTTTAAAATATTGAAAATCAACAGTCCAGAAAATGCATTATAAGATGGACTATTTCCAAGACTTGAAATCCATTTTTTTCCTTATACATACATCTGGAGGTCGAGATAATCCATTTGCGTATTTTTGAGAAACAAAGGAAAGGTTTGTATACGTCCCCTATAACATAGAACATTTATGCTTCCCCTATCTTAGATCTGATGCCTTAGAGTATTTTTTTTTTATTTTTTTTAATACAAATTGTATGAATATGAAATTTGGTACGTGCCATCTTCTCATTGGAGCGCACCTATAAAAATATTGAAAATACTTTTTTGATAAAATATAATGATCAAAATACCCCTTGACATTTTCTTGGGTATTTTGGTCATTTAATTTTATTGAGAATATTTTTCTTATATGTTTTTTACAAGTGGGAGTTTAAATAGAGGATTGGACGCCCAAAATCTGGTGTCAAAATGTTTTATATAAAAAACATTGAAAATACATTAGTGTAAAGTCTTGACATTGTGATTGGGGCAATCTTAGCCCTCAATTCATAATGGACAGCTGATAATGGGACTTACCCCTCAATTCAAAATGGACAATTAGATTAGGGGACTTAGCCCTCAATTCAGAATGGTCATTTAGATAAGGGGACTTAGCCCTCAATTCAGAATGGACAATTAAATAACGAGAAGATATAAGTTTGGGCAGTGATTTCATGCAACGGTTGCATAGTAATATGATGCAACAACATTTAAAAACCATGTTAAGGCCATTTTGTTCGATCCAAAATTTAAAATATACACTTTTTTCATTCTAGTGAACAATCATAAAAAAGAAAAATTTGAAAACGCAACTTAGAAAGTATAATTTTAGCCCAATTAACATAGGCCATCCATTTTGATAAGATGCTTAGATCTAGGCCTTAGAAAGACTTTTTACTTTTTCAATTTTTTTTAGATGACTTTATTATCATTAGATGAACAATATTATAAAAGAAAAACATGATTTTAAATTTGTAAAGGCTAAGATCTAGAAATTCACCAAATGAATGGTCTAGATTCGTAATTGGAGGGGAATCATTTAGACCATAACTAGGGTTCAAATTGATTTTTTTTTTTTTGGATTGATTATTGAGATGAAGAAAATGTGTGTGTGTACAAAATTTTGGGTCATATAACCACAAACATGATTTTCTAGAAGTGTTGTTGCATAATACTATGATACAATCGTTGCATTAGATCATTTCCCTATAAGTTTGTGTTGTAGGGGAAGCATGGAAAGCTTGTCCTTGAAACAATATCTTCTTGTGAATCTTTGAGGCGTGCCTTAATTTGATTGTTTAGGGTCTCATTCTTATATAAACTTTTTCCTTACATGAATTCTATTATACTAATTAAATAATAATATTTTAAATAATTACTGAAAATTTTATATGCTGAAGAACTTAGAAAGTTGTGTTTCTTGAAATTATAAATATCGAATAATAGGGTGTTTTGTGCTGCAAATATCAGGCAAGCCCAATAGAGATGGCCAAAAGTTTGCAGGATTTCCCACTTGTCCAGTATTGGAATTGTTGGACAGGAGGGCAATTTTGAAAAAAAAAAAAGAAAAAAAGAAAAAAAAAAAAGGTAAGACAAGGGGCTCAAAGGTGAGGTGTTCTATGAATAATTTTTGTAAAACTTTGACTCATATCATAATAAATCCGTTGAAAAGGTATTCGCATATAATTTTTTCACAAACAAAAATAATTGCCAAGTTGTGAGCCCTAGTTGAACGTGAGATACACTATAGATGGGAACTCAAGATTTTTTTTTAGATAATTAAGTGGGGAAGATATGCTTCTGTTATTTTTTCAAATAGTTTAGGAGTTTTTTTTTTCTAAGTGTTAATAGAGTGGTGTAAATGGGAATAAAAATGATAATGGGAAACCTCTCTCCTTTCTCAATTTTTTTTTTTTTTTTTTGTTCAATCTATCTTTGTGTTGGTTTGCCTTATCTCAAAAAATGAACAACTCCAAGTCATGAATGGTATTGTAGTTCAACGAATGGGACACTACATATGGAAAGCCCTGGACCCATTGGAGAGAGAACTCAAACTCTCATTGGACGCACATTGTTGTCGACAGTTATCCACAGCTATTATTAGAGAGAGAAAGTTGCAAGGCCAGACCAGCCATGACTGACCTAAAGGGGGCCATGACTGACCTAAAGGGGGAGTTTAAGTACCAGCCCCATATCACAGTACCCAAAACAAATGGACAGGACTCTCGCTCTCTCTCCTCTCTCTTCTCTTTCTCTCTCTACACACATTTACAATAATAGGTTCAGTACTTTAAATCATTGGTCACGAGCCTCTTGCATGTGCATGCACGTGCCTCAATGAGCACGTGGACCCAAAATACACGTGAACCCCAACGTTATTTGGCCATGTGTCCTTCATAACACGTGAACTCTGTACCTCAATTGAATGGATGTTATAAAGGCCCGTTATGGAACGTGGCGTACGGATGTAGTGTGTGTATTCGGTAACGGACCGGTGAAAAGATTTTAAGTCCCTTCTAGCACAAGTTCAGCGTGTTTCTCAGTCTATATTGGAAGAAAGAGAGGGAGAGAGAGAGAGAGGAGTTACAAATAGAATCAGAAAAGATAAAGAGGTGTAACCCTCATGTTCGATTTTCAAAAACTCCCATACTTCCATGAAAATATTTTCACTCGTATCAAACTTTCCTAAGAAATGGAAGAGATCCAACTATTTTATGAGAAGAAAGTTAAGTGATTGAGGTATTACATGATGTTCATGTCTTTGATTATTTTCATTAGAATATGAGAAAATGTTTTGATGATTATAGATAGGCCGCAAAAAGGTAATCCTAAGTTTTGCTCTCTTAGTTTAATAGGTAGTCCTAGCCCCTGGGTTATGAGAGATAGAAAGAGAAATAATAATGGGATAATGTTTGTCTCTAAAATGGTAGGTTTGCTTCGCGTGAAAATATTTTGAGTGATTTATGAATGGATCTTAAAATTTTAGGTAAAATACGAAATGCTCCACTTAAATGCGGAAATTCCGGTCAACTTTTTCTTTAAAAAAAATTACCTTTTGATTGACTAGAATTTTGATTTTTTTTATAGTTTTTTTAAAATTTATTCATTAGTAAGGCAGCGCTTTAAAGCTTGAGGCACTGCTCTACTAGTGAAAAAAGTAAAAAAAACTAAAATGAAAAATCAAAATTCGAGTTGACCGAAAGGCGGATTTGAAAAAAATAAAAAAGAATGGGTGACCAACCTTCTGTGTAATTCCCACTTATAAACAGAGTATTTTATATTTTACCTAAAATTTTAAGATCCGTACATAAATCACTCAAATTTTTTCATATGAAAAATTCTCTCGAAAATATTTTCATGCCACTTGGTCTTAGTACATCTTTTTACACGAATTGGTAATTAATTGATGTAAACATATTCTCAGACTTAACTACATGATAGGATTTTTTCATATGATAATGTTTTTCGAACCAAACGTGCCTTCAAATAATTAATTTGAAATTTTTTTTGGATAAATCATGACTATTTACATGCTTCTAGGTGGTTTCCATCACAAACAGACTGGAATTTCACCAAAACCCGAAGATCAGCATTCAAAAGTAGCGAGAGAGAGAGAACTAATCGAATTCGTTAATAAAGAAGATGCTTAAAACATGGTATATCGTGTTGGAAATGAGTATCCCTTGAAAACCAGGCCCACCATGTCTAGTTACCACTGTTTGCAAGTACATGAAACATTCTTCAAGAATAAACACTACACATATAAAATTGGGGACATAAAGGCAAAGTAGCTTCTAGAAGCAAGAATGGGGCATGAACCCATTCTTGTCCATGGTAAAAAAATACAGAAATGGAGAGAGAGAGAGAAGGAGATAAACAATAAGAGAGATAGAAGACTTAGAGAGAGAGAGAGAGAGAGAGAGAGTGTGTGTGTGTTAAGCAATAAAAGAGTTGAAGACTTAGAGAGAGTTTACTTATAAAAGATACATGACATTTTATGTATATTAGGATGCATAAACATTAAAAATATTGTAGACTGCACAAGGTTTGTGTGAGAGGGTGTACAAAACAAAACAGCACATCTTATCGTATAACCCAAACATAGAGGATATGCCCTAGCCCAAAATAGAGAGAAAGAGAGAGAGCACATGACAATAATGGAAAGAAATTAAAGTCAAGATTGAGAAGGGCGAGAGAAAATCTTATTGAATAAAATATTTGACAGAGAGAGAGAAATTTTGAGAGAGATATATATATAGAGAGAGAGAGGTCTTGAAGAGAGAGAGAGGTCTTGAAGAGAGAGAGAGAGGAGGGAGGGGCAAAAGAATCAAGGTTCAGAGAGAGATTAAGCAAACAAAAGGGCCAAAACCCCTCATAAAACAAACACAAGAGAAAGAATAGAAAATGAGATTGAGTTTTTACATGTCCTCATACTGTTTCTTCTATACTCTACTATAAGAGTAACTATGATCTCGACTCCACGAAAACCTCTAGTCCACCACTAACATTGGCAGTAAGGCTAGTCACGAACCTTGGAGTATAATCCGGATTGACCAACACCAGCTTGTGTTTGTAGACCACAGAAGCCACCACACTCTTCATCTGTAAAAAAGCCATCTCTTTCCCCAAACAGACCCTTAAACCAGCTTGAAAAACTGGGTATTTGAATGGGTTTTCAGGTACAAAAAACCCATTTTCGAGCCACCTTTCAGGGTTAAACTCCATGCAATCTTTTCCCCATATGCTTTCCATGCGCCCCATGGCGTATGGATGATAAGTAACCCTAGTCCCCTTCTTTACCACAGTCCCGTCTGGTAATATATCGTCTTTTTCTGCAAATTTTGAGTCGAATTGCACTGGTGGATAAAGCCTCATGCTCTCTGATAGAGCAGCATGGAGATAGTGCATCTCCCTCAGTTTCCCATACGATGCAATCACTTCCTTTCTCTCTCTAAAATCCTCTCCCTCTCTCTCTTCTTTGTCTCTCCCCCACTTTCCTCTCTCTCTTAATTCTTCACTCACTCTCTCTCCTCTTTCAACCCCACTTTCTCCCTCTCTCGCTCCTCCCTCTTCTCTTTCTCTCTCTACCCCTTTCCCCATGACCCTCACTATCTCATCATGCACCTTTTCCTCCACCTCAGGGTGCTTCGCCATGAGCCAGAAGAAACTCGTCAGAGCTGAAGCCACTGTATCTCTCCCAGCAAGCAAAAAGCTCACTATTATATCTCTCAGAAACTTATCATCACTCACAGTAGTCATAAACCTAGAGAGAAGGTCACTCGCTTCAGACCCCACTACCTTTCTCTGTCTAATGACCTCAATTGCCATCAAATCAACCATGTTAATTGCCTCTCTCAAGCTTCTCTCTGATCCCAAGTTCAGGAACTTCTTAATTTTCCAGATAAGAGAGGGTGCAACGACGGCCCGACCTGCGCACAGATGCGAGGCTCTGTCGAAGGCTTGAGCGAACTCGGAAATAGGCTGAGTCAATTCTAAACAGCAGGGATCAAGACCAAAAGAGATCTTACATATGTTATCAAAGGTAAACTTCTTTAACACGTCCTGCAAATCCAGCTTACTTCCCTTAGAGACCGAGTCGGCTAAGATGGGCTCGAGCCTGGTCTCGATCTCGGCTAGAACCGTTTTGGCCACCATGGCTCGAACCGCCTGGCTCCCTAGCTCGTAACTCGCCATCTTCCTCTGAAATCTCCACAGCTCTCCATCAACGTTGAAGATACCTCGACCCAACAGATCATGGAGAATCGTGTGAAATGGCTTCCCTTTGGGGTAATTCTCAAACTGGGTTTTGAGAATGTGTTCTACGTTTTTAGGGTTGGCTGTGATGATATTGTTCAGGACATGGACTTTGATGGTTTGGGTTTTTGAGGATTTTAGCAGATGGGTGTAAAAATCACAGAGATTTGAGAATTGAGAGACCCAGCTTTTGGTAAGATAGGTTCTGCACACTTTGCAGTTGCACCATGAGAGGAGCTTGGATAGAGAGAGAAGGAGGAGAGAGAGTAAGGACAGTAGAGCAAGGACGCAGAGGTAGAGAGCGAAAGCTCCTCGTGCTAGTGCCATGGATTGTGCCTGGGGTTTCCTCTGGTTCTAGAGAGAGAGAGAGAGAGAGATATCTCGTGTGTAGAGAGAGAGAGAGAGAGAGAGAGAGAGAAAAAGACGATGGAGAATGGGTGGGAAGAGTGGGTTGCTTCCTTTTATAATTGCATTAAATAGAGAGTGTGCGCGCGTTATGTGACGAGTGTACAGGCGTTTTTTTGGGACCATTCGTATTATTAATGACAAGGATTTCCACGGATAACTTGTGCTTAAAATCATTCGGAGGCGCGATGAAGCAAGACGTAATTGATGATGAGAGAGAAAATGACATGATGAGAGAGAAAGAGATATGAGGGAATTTGTCACGTGGGATATGAGTTCGTTGAGGAAAGAGACACCGTTTTAGTGAAGGAAAAGGGTTTTGGAATAGGCCTAGAGAGAGAAAGAGATTGGAGTTTATTTGTACAAATCGTGACTCACGTACACGGAAACATTGTCGTGGTAAACCTGGGATAGAAAGTGAAAAATACGAGAATGCACTTTGGTGAGGACGTACTTTCATAGAAAGAAGAGAGTGATGCCGCGTAATTTCTTCATAAAATTACAGAAAAAACCTCAACACTATGCTTCTATGCAACTTACCCCAACTTAACTTTATTTCTCACTTTTTTATTCAAAATATACTTTTTATACAAATCATAGTTAGCAAGTCGCCGATTTAATCGCAAATTTTTCAAAAAAGCCGTGCTTTTTTGAAAAACAATTTAATATGTAATTTTTTTGATAGATCGATAAAAATATGCGATCTTTTCAGGAAGAAGTTTAAAAGGCAAATTTTTCAAATTTTGAAAAAATCCTTTCAAAAAATCTTTCCCATTAATATACTCTATTTCTATCTTTTTTGAAAGTTCAATGTATTTTTTCTATTTTATGAAATTTCTATTTCTATTTTTATTTCTACATTTGTTCGGGTGGTTATAGGTAAATTATAGCAAGTGTGGGGCAGGCAATTTCTTTCTAAAAACATGAAAATTGAATTCACCTACTTAATGCTTATCTTGACAAAAAGAATAGATAATCATCTTATGATTTAGAGATATATCACATTGAATATTTGAAATTTATATTTATAGGGAGGTCATTTTTATATTGAGTGATATATATATATATATATATATAGTTTTAAAATTTATAATATTTTAAATATATTTGATTTTTTTGGCCTAGTCCGATGTATTCGCAATCTCTTTACATGAAATATTTTTACTGGATCCATATTTTTTGCCCGATTTTTTTATCCAACTTTTTAAAATAAAAAATGATTACCTTCAAATTTCATGGTGAGCGGATTTATGATAATCCCCGACTTAGCTAATTATGTTTTTTATTAGTTATCAATTCTACACCCATGGTTTTAGAAGTAATTCATTTCACACCTAGCAAATCCCACACTTAGCAAATCCCACACTTAACAAATCCCACTTTTTAGTAGTTATCAATTCCACATGTTGTAGTACTTTATTAACTAGTACTTATCCATTCTGCACCTAGCAAATCCGATCCATTTCATACCCATAGCAGGTAAAATGTGGAACATAGTTAGCAAGTCGGGGACTATCAATAAATCGGCTCACTATGAAACACGAAACTAATAATTTTTATTTTAAAAAGTTGGATAAAAAAATTGGGTAAAAAATATGGATCGGCAAAAATACTTCAGGTAAAGAGATTGCGAATATATCGGACTAGGTTCAAAAAATCGGAGTAAAAAATCAGATATATTTAAAATATTAGAAAGTTTAAAACTCTAAATATATATATTGCTAAGTACGGAAAAAATTAATAGTAGTGAGGAGTAATGCTTTCTCTCTATATATATCACTCAATATAAGAAGGGAAAATTTTATACAGAGCTGAGGCTCTAAACAATTAAATTTGAGCCTACCTAAAAAATTTCACTAGAAGAGATTGTTTGTATGCCCAAATATCTTCAAATTGATTATCTCGACATCAAGAAGCATGGACATAAGAAAAAAATGGATTTCAAGTTTTGGAAATAGTGTATTTTGTAATGTATTTTTGGACTGTCAATTTTCAAGATTTTCATAGATTTGTCAATCTACACTATTTTTTAAGCTTTAAATTTTATAAATAAACATAAAAATATATTTTAAATTTATCACAAAGATTTCCAATATTAAAACCACATTTCTTGACACTCTTTGAAGGTAGGCTCTAATTTGATTGTTTAGAGCTTAGGCTCTATACAAACTGCAGCCATATAAAAATAACCTCCCTATAAATATAAATTTCAAATATTCAATACGATATATCTCTAAATCATAAGATGATTATCTATTCTATTCTTCAAGATAAGTATTGGGTAGGTGAATTCAATTTTCATCTTTCTAGAAAGAAATTGGCCATCCCATACTTGCTAACTATGGTCAACCCATAACCACCAAAAAAAAGTACGCACCATATCCATAGCAGAGAACCAGAGAAAGTTTTGGGAGAATAGAAATAAAAATAGAAAAAAAAAATCATAAAACAGGAAAAAGATATTGAACTTTCCAAAAAGAAAAAAGAGTATGTTAATAGGAAAGATTTTTTGAAACGATTTTTCAAATTTTGAAAAAGTCGCGTTTTAAACTTCTTCCTGAAAGGATCGCATACTTTTACCGATCTATGCGTGGGAGGCTAGGAAGAGAGAGAGAGTCTAGAAAAACTTGAGCCTTGGAGAGACCAGAGAGAAAACCATGAGAGATCCTAGATCTAGACAAGTTTTAGCCAAACCCTAGCCATTAAACTTGCAACCCTAAGCTTAAAACAGGCCCAAGATAACCATTCAACCAAGCCAAAACTTGGTCAACATTGAAGAGACAAAGAGGATCCCCGGTATAAACATAGCTGTCACGATCTTGATATGGGTGAGGCCTTGAAGCCTCGGGTTTGCCGGGCCAACAGGCCTGGCCAGGTAATTTTCCCATCATCTTTTCCTTCATTTTTTAGTTATTTTGTTAGATCTAATATTTTATTTTTATTTTATTCAATATTTCATGATCCAAATCGATGTTGGCTCTGCTCTGAGAGTGGATCTATTCTTTTTTTAATAAATATGGCCTTAGGTCAGAATTTGATTTTCCACACTCTCTATCACTCTTTTAAAAAAAATTGGTCTTTTAGGTGCTCAAATCTGAGGGATCTTCCTTTGGAGATCTCTCTGATTTACATCATAAATAATGTAGGTGCTCAAATCTGAGGGATCTTCCTCGGGAGATCTCTCTGATTTGCATCATAAACAATATATATATATATATATATATATATATATATATA